ATATATATAAACAAACAACATCACAATGTAAATCAGTACAAACAGAGGCCAAAAGCACAGCATATTCAAAACCCAAACCAGTTTTTCAAACAGGTTCATTCAACACCCTAATTCAGTGCTCAGGGGAAAAACCAATTTTTTAAAGCCTTATGGAAGGCCAGCAGTGTTGCGGCCATCCAAACCTCAGGGTAATGCTGTTCAAAAGGGCAGGAACCATCTATTTCTAGGTGCTCCCGTGGGCTAGTTCAGGCTCAAATCTAACACTGGTCACTGAGCAGGTCTTCCAGTCTTCCACTGTAGGGAGCCATGGAAATGATCTTGGAGAAATTATTCAGAAACCGCTAATTTATGTTTTTGTAATGGTTTTGCAATAGTTTCTCCAAGGTCATCTTCATGGCTCCCTACACCCACTCAGCCACCTACTCTGGAGGCTTCATTTTCCTCAATTCCCACAGCCACCACAAACCTTTGTAGCACTAACTTGCTACCCAAAGTGGATTCAAAGACCCTCCAAATCTTCCTCAGGACCTTGTAGCCTACACATACCCACATCAACATGCTTATTCAACTACTCCTAAGACCAAGGCGAAGAAAAATTTCAAACAAAGGGTCATGGATATGGCTGCCCAAGAGGATATTGTATCCCTTAAACATTTAAGTCCTTGAAGTGGCTGGCTCAGCACAAATCATCCTCCCAGCTAGCAAAGTATTTAACAGCTTATATGCTCCAACATCTTAGAAGAGCGTTTTTAAGAGCTTGTTTTGAACAACTAGACTCCATGGTAAGATATGGAAGGTTCCATGGAGTTCCGTTTGAAGAAAGACTGTGTATCTGTGCTGCACCAGCTGTTGAAGATATTGCACATATCCTCTTTGATTGCAAACTATATTCAACAGAAAGGACTCTTTATTTAGATTCCTACTTAAAAACTAAAAAATACTGGGGTACCCAGGAGAAACTGTCTTACTTTTTGCAGGGGACAAACCTGCATATCACTAGTAAGACTGCACTCTTCATATCAAAGGTGATTTTGAAGAGGACAGACTATTTAGATCAGATTGGGGTTAACTGCAGGGGTGATGACTTACTATGAATTTGTTCTATTGTTGTTGTTTTTTAATGAACACTTGTATTGGTTTTATACGTTTGATATGGTCAGATGACTAAATCAATAGTTTTTGTTCTATACTCCTAAGACCATCTCAACCACAAATCTGGCTTTGGCATCATTACAAAAAAAGGAAAAAAAATCCTAGTCAATCCACTTCTATCTACTGACTACTGCGGCCTTAAAAGTCACTTATTCTTTCTTTGTCCTTTTGATTGCAATCTGTTTTATTATTTTTAATTTCTTTCAATACTGTATTCTTTTATTTTCTTCAGAGTGATGGCTGGCCTCCAACCACCTTAAGAATGTTTTACTTATTTTACTTCTTTAATCTTCTTTCCTCTCTTCTAAACTCTATAGTTGTTCATTCAGACACCTTGTCCTGCTGTTACTGGTGACTTAGTATCACTGATGGATAAATCTGATGACAGTGACTTAAAAAGGAACAAAAGGATCCAATGTGCTGTTATGTCCTTCTCAGACAGAATGCACTTAGGCGTCTATAATCCCATAGTTGGCTGAACCACATATATAGTTTAGCTGCAGCCTAGAAAATTTCTTTGAGAGATATTCACTGTACATTAGGTACATGCTTTGTATCTAAAATATATAAAATACTATGTGATGTTAAGACTTGCCACATAATCTGTATGAGAAATGTAGATTCCTGCTTGAGAAAGAAAGTAACAGCAGTG